TTAAATGTGAACAGAGATATATAGCAAGTCATACAAGCTTTTGAAAATTAAAAATGACACATGCAGCTGATTATGCAATCAATGGGTACAAAACTTGGGGAAAAAAACTTGACACAAATTCTGCCTTATTCTGTTGTGTTAGGTCTACATCTGTTACATATGGAAGATGTTTAGGCTTCTAAATAGGATTCTTTCTTTGGAGAAAAACCAGTGTAACATTAATTCAAAGAAAATTGTACCAAAAAAATTATGTAGACTAAAATTTGATTAGCTATCTTTATCAAAAGGGAGGTCAGCAACAGAAGAAGCATGTGCATGTGGGATGGTGTAGGCTGGAAGTTAGGTTATGCAGATGAGCAGTTCAAGCTTCACAATCTGATGTGAATCTTTATGAAATATCATTTCTGGGCCCCTGTTTATCTAAAACTGGCCCTTTTGAACCGTACTAGACCCATTTGTAGAACACATTCTTGCATAAAATCTCTTGGGCATATTCAGTGAAGTGCATTGAGCAAAGCTAAAGTGTTACCCATACCAAACAGTCATATCACTGATAGTTCAAGTCTATCTCATTGCCTTATTGAGTAATCGGTGAGTGTTCAATGTCCTATTTCTTCTGGCATAAGTTCTCTTTATACACACCTAGGAAAATCTTTGCAGTAGTTTATAATGTAGGCTTTGATTCCAAGGTTTGAGAAAAATTATGTAGAACAGTGGGATGTTTTATTATTATTGAAGTAAACAATGGAAGCTTAGAAAAAGGTCTCTTGAGTTTGAACACATAAATACTGAAAAAAATAATACTTGATGCTCAAATTCCAAAGCTTTATAAGAGAAGAGGTAGTGTGAAAATGTCAGATGAACATTGAGATTCTTGTCATGCTTCTTCTATTGATTTGGGCTATCACGGATCACTGGAAATTAGCTAGGATGTCTGAGCGAAAAATACCCTAGCAGTCCCCCAGAACATTGATTTCTAAGTCTGGTTGTCTTGCATCCAGTGTTCAGAATCTTCCCCAATATATCATTTCCTGCCTTTCAAAAATGCAGCGCAAGTCCTTAGAGTTTTTTTTATATAATAAATATTTTATTTTATCCTGGCCATGCTTCACTACACTATGTGCACATGTGGCAGCTGAGTGATTCATGCTCAGGTTTTCATTAAATAAATGTCAATCCTGTCAGCGCATGCAGGAAGAGATTCATGCAGAGCTGACATCAAAGATCATTTAATTCTTGCTCGATCCATAATTCTACCTGGGAAGCTTAGTATTTGGATAGTTTCAATTACTATGCATATCGGAGATAGGAAGAAAACTGAAAATTACATTTGCTCTTATTTTACTGTTAAAATAGACGTTTCAGTATTAGTTAGCTGTGGTGGAGGTGCATAAGAAGCAATGTTTTTTAGTGGGACTGATCTTACAGCTTGTTAATGTACAAATTGTCCATAGTTGTAATACAAGTATTCTCAGAGCACTGGGTATTGCCTCTGATTGGAACCCTATAGGAATCCATCTGAAGAAATAGAGGGATGGAAACAAGTCAGTGTTCTAATTATTCTCTTGGGTGTGTACATTTCTTCTTGAGCTATTTCTTCTTGAGCTACTGAACTCTGTCCACAGGCTTTTTACAACAAAGGAGCAAAGATCATACTGGAAAACATTTGATAAAGAGCATTTTGCTTTAGCTGCTCGTCAAATAAAAGAATACATAACTGTTTATAATATTTCATAATTATGTACCTAAAAAATAAAATAGGAAATATTTTTAGAATGTTCTTTAACCTCCCTGGCGGTATACCCGAGTGTAGCTCGGGGTAAAATTTCAGTACCACAAGCGGTAACCCCGAGCTACACTCGGGCTTACCATGCGGCGTTGCTCAGGGATTCCCTGCAGCACTTACCTTGTTCTTCGCTCCTGCGATGTGTCCCCTGCCATCTCCGGCCGATGCCAGCATCCGGCTTCCATTTTCCTGTCCCTGTGACGTCAGGACGTACGGACGGCAATTACTTAGCAAAACATTGCTATTTCAAAGCATTTCACATACAATTTTTCCCTACTGTCCTGTGCCCTGCCTGCATTTTGACTGTTCTTTCTGCCTGGAAACTGGGAAAAGTCCATGGCGTCCAAAAAGCGTCCCTTTAGGTCAAATTCGGTCTTAGACCAGCTAGAGAACAGCGATAGTAAATCAGAACCACTTGCAGAATTGAGTGATAATGATTTGTGGGGAAATTCGTCATCAGACACTGAAAACAATTTTGCGACTTTGCTCAGCAATGTGCAAACTTGGCTCTATATTTCAAATTTCAGTGTTTTTGGTTTGATTATATTATTGAATTAAATTTATTATTATTATATTATTATTTTTTATGATTATTTATTAAATTATAATTTATGATTTTGTGTTTCAAGTTTTATCATATCCGGAATGTTTACTAGACTCTTGTTCGGACAGATTTCAGTGAGTTATTCCTAAAAATGACAGGCCTACAATAAAAAAACTACATATTTCCATGCAAAATAATGGTACCGCTTTCAGCACCAAAAATCTGAAATAATCATACCGCCAGGGAGGTTAAAAGGTAAGTAGGGCTTTTTCCCCCCCCAAATATACTTACCTAGGTGGATGCAGCATCGGTCCCCCCCACCAGCTCTAAGGGTGAGAACTCAGCGATCACATGACCGCTGATTGCTGAGTTCTCCTCTCCGCTCTGAGCAGAGAGCTGGGCTGTCAGTCACCGCTGTGCTCTGCCCCCCCCCCCCCCCCCCCTCCGCACTCACTGGAGTACTGGGCTGTGGAGGGGGAGGGAGTGGCTGGCTCAGGCTCTCAGTGGCTTGCTGATAGGCTGAGCCAGGTATCGCTCCAGACTCGGGTGGATCCCGACTTTAAAGTTGGGATCTTTCCCCAGCTTGGACTGGCTCAGCCTATCAGCAAGCCACTGAGAGCCTGAGCCAGCCACTTGATGTTAGCCGACAGTGGTCTTCAGTCTGCTGTCAGCTGAAAATGGGTCACAGAAGTGCAGAATAAATTGTTTTGGCTGTACTACTCCTTTAAATAAATTATTCACTAGAGGGAACTCCCACTGCATTGTTCAATGTGTCAGCCAACTACTAGACTTGCTTTGTGAGAAGAGTTGCAAAGCACAACCATTATGTAGCACTGCAATTAAAATGTTTATGGTGAAAGTTATACACAAAAACCCAGGGTATTTGCATTAAAGTGGACATTGCAGTAAACAGAATTCCCCCTAATAAATAGCAGATGAAAGTAAAAAAAAAAGAAAACTGTAAGGGGAAATGTGTGATGTTATGATTTTTCCAGCAAGATCTCAAATCCTAATTTAAGCATAGCGCGTTAGCGCATTCTCATGAAATTTGTGATTTTGCTATTTATTTTGGGGGAGGGGACTTAATGTATTACACAGGCTTTGGTTTTTACTGCCAGGTTTGCTTTGGGTTGATCTCCTTCTGATGCATACAGTATTTAAAAAATAATTTCAATTTTAAGACTGTAATTGGGCTTTAAAGGAAAACAAAATGTATTATATTGCAGCTTATCATTCTCTAAATGTTGTCCCTGCATTAGTTTTCTTTTTTTCAGGCTAAGAACTTTTTCATAGTAGAAGGAAACCGAGAATAGGGTGCAATGGCTTGGTGCATTAACAAGGATAAAATTTGTTGGGCATACATAAAATACACTCACAAAAAAAGTCAACATTTCTTGGGCCTGCAACAGAAGATGATATCTAGTAACCTTCCATGGCCAGCAGCAAGGCTGCTTGTGCACAAGAGACTGCATCCTGGATTTCTTCTGAATCTGAGAGGCTCTCACTTCTCCCCCTCCAGGCAACATCACTTTCCAGAGAGGATTGTTGGATGTCATCTTCTCCTGCAGACCCCTGATAGGCATATGAAATGCTGACTTCTTGTGAGTATACTTTATGTATTCCCAACAAATTTTATCCGTGTTAATGCACCAGGCCATTGCGCCCTGTCTTCCATTTCCTTTTACACGGTTTTGCAGTTCTTCTAATTCTGCTTTCTTTAGTGTTCTGCATGACCTGCATGTTAAGGGCTAGATTTTACCTATAATATAGCTTTGCAAATACTGTATTTCCCTGTGGATATTGCTCAAGTACAAGTCAATTTTTTGTGAGTGTTAAGAACATTTTAAGCAAGTACAGAAAATACCTGTGGATCTTGCCAGAATGTAGCGTCTTTGGCACCTCCTGTGAGCTTAACATACAGCACAAACAAACTTCTATTCTTCTGTAAACTACCAATTCTGTCAGCCCTCGTGTAATAGCAATAAATAAAGACAGACATGTTTAAAGTGCAACCTGGGTAACAACCATGGGTGCCCCCATAGATACAGTGGAGTGAGTGAGTGTAGCTACCCACAGATAGGAACTGTGTTATTCACAGTATTACCAGGTGAAAATTGAAGGCTTTGAAAGAAAACAAATTCAGTCACCACATCTAAAGATTTGTAAGCTGCAATATATTAAATGTTTGTTTTTGCCTTTACAGCCATTATTATTATTTTTAAAAGGAGGTCAGTCTACATATTTCTCCTGGCACTAGTTTCCTTTAGTGGTATGCTATTTTTGTTTTATTAAGTATTTGTATACATAGGAAACCATATTCATGTATTTGGTTTCCTGGAAGATGAACACTATAACTTGAAATGACTATAAATAAATATAAATAAAGTATAAATGATAATGTAAAGGAGAAGAGATGCCTTTTTGTGGGATAAGTTTGAATATGATGTAACTCTCTGGAGGGGCTTACAGGCAATCAAGCTTTGAATATACTAAGTTTGTATAGCAGTACAATACTAAATTGCATAGCCTTCTGGATAATACAGCTTGTCTATATGTTTGTGTTTCTGAACTCTGCTACTGTTTGATATGCACGTTACTATACAGACATCTAACTGCCAATTAAGCTCTTGTAATGGAGTTGTCCATGTACTTTCCTTTGTGTGTCCGCAGACATCTGGAGATAAAAAACGCTCAGGCCATGCAGAAAGTAATGGTTTTGCCGGCCATATAAACCTTCCTGACTTAGTCCAGCAGAGCCACTCCCCGGTGGGTACTCCAACCGAGCCTATAGGGAGAGGTTCAACGCATGCACAGGAAGTGGAGACTGGGACTGAAGTAGGTGGTGGCAGTACCAAACTAACACTTCCGCTTACTGGATAACTGGTTGCTAGTACTGATCGTGGTGCTACTTTATTTCTCTTCTCTTCATCTTTCCTTCCCTAACCCTGTTTTAGCAATGCATGCATGCTAGGTTGTTTGCTGGTGAAGGGAGGATGTGTCTTTATAACTGCTTTTGTTACCCCCAAATTGAGCAAATTCTGTTCTTCTCAGCTCATGCATGCTGTAGGACTCTCCATAATGCATCATGTGTTTTTTGGCATAGCTGTATTCCAGAAAAATGTATTGATGTGTGTGTGTATGTATAAGGGGATGCGGGGGGGTCTATAGAAATACACCAAAACAGCTGGTAATTAGCATGGCTTTGATGCAAAAACAGCTTAGAGTTTAATGTCACATTAATTTTTGTGACACAGATTATGAATTAAAAAAAAGTGTCAAGGATACTAGAATGCTTTAGTGGTCACATTTTGCCTACTTGTCCAAAAGTATTTGATCTGTGGAATAAATGCATTCGTATACAGCACCTAGCGAGAGATGCATGCTGGTTCTAGGGCAGTAAGATTGAATACACTCCATTTCACTGACGTGATGTTGCTGGTGCAAAACCAATATTCAGCTGACTTCTGCATGATGAAAACTGAATTCCCTCCTCACTGTGCAGAGTCAAGCATGGAGAGCCACTGAACTCTGTATGCGTACAATAGGCTCTAGGTGTTGTATACTTCCAGGATTCTAGAATTACTTATTAATGTTTATTGTTTATTTTTAAACTAATATAGTTGTATATGGTATTACTACAAGAATGTAATTCTCACTATTAATGTAACATAATTTTCACATTAATATCATTAACATTATTGTAAAATTTTGGTTTATAATGCACCTTTTTGATTTTTGTTATTATGCTTTTAATCATTATAGTATGGTGTAGGAAGTACCACAAAAGCATCTTTTACACCATTTGTTGATACAAGAGTTTTCCAGACATCGCCCACTGATAACGATGATGAGGAGGATGAAGACGATGATGATGAAGAGTCATCTGCAACAGGTATTAAGATGATGTGGTTTGTACGTGAAATCTTTATTATGGTAGTGTACAGATAGGTGTATAGGTGATTTATTTTGGTTTATAATATAAGTGTTAGGGTTTATCCAATATCCTAGTTTAGAGCAGTGCTGTGTGGTCACCCATAGCAACCAATAACAGCTCAACTATCATTATAATTATTCTAAATTGGTAAAACCTATATTCATTAGCTATGGACTACAACACAGTACTTCTACTTCTGATAGTTTAGTCCATGTAATGCTAGGAAGAATTGACACAACGGTTGCTTCCTTTACCAATAAGATAAATTTGTTAGAAAATATTACATCCGCCAAAATAATACATTATGTGTGTCAGCCAGTCACATAATGTACAGATTTGCTAATTAATATCTTCTTTATTATGCATTTCCACTATGCTAGGCTTGAACTGGATTAGATTTCTTATATACAGTATTTTCTAAATGGATGCAATGGCAAATGGATCACATCAAGCATGATTCTGTTTCTAGTAAAGCCTAGAAACATTGTTAGGTTACGCTCATAGTCCATGTTTCTGATTAGAATTGCTTAGGACTAATCCTTACATCTATACATTTTTTCTTTCAGGAATTGTTAGTTCACGTATGGCTGTTAGCCTGATTAAAAACATTTCCCATTTTATTGGAATGATCTAATTGTTATCCTAAACAAGGCATGGCTTACAACTGAGTACATTTTCCTGGGGCCACTCTTGCGTTTACAGATAAAGGCAGGGTCTAAGTGGATGGCAGAACCTCCTCCAGTACTGGCTCATAAAAGCCATCATTACTTTAGATTCACTACAGTTACTTTAGGAGAAGTAACAGTCGCATTGATACAAGAAAAAAATAAAGTTGACAAACCACCATATAATGAAGAAAAAGAGAAACTGAGGGCACAACCATGTGTACATTTATTTATAAACATAGGGTTACAAATAGCATATGTACTCACAAGTAGCCCATAAATTGCAAGCATGTCATCACAACCAAAGGCATTGCTGTTAAACCTCAGCTGGAAGGATCGCAGAAGCCTTATTCGCCAGGGAATTTGGCAGAAACTGCAGGAAGTGGCTGTGTGATGTATAGCAGCAGAATGAGCCAGCATGGATTTGTACAGTCGTCCAGAAAGGCAGTTGGTGATTCCAGGTTGAATGGATGTCATCAAACGTCAACATGGTTTGAGACAGGGGCCTCTGTGGTCCTGAAATCTGTAGCTACGCACATGTTGAAGTCTGACACGTCATCCGCTGTACCCGGAACTGTCACCTAACTTCCTGTACTGAGGTTAAACAATAATGCCTTTGGGTGTAGTGACATACTTGCAGTTTCTGGGCTATCTGTGAGTTCATATGCTGTTTTTAACCCTATGTTTTTAAAATAAATCTACAGTTAGATGGTTGCACCCTCTGTTTTTCTTACTCTTCAGTACAAGTGTCCAGAGAATCAGCCCAAACTCTGATTTATGTAGTGAATAATTATGTGTTTGGACTGGTTTGAAGCACAGTGTGCTCATTTTTGCACCATAGTTAATTGTTGTGTATTGACAAACCACCATGTTTGCCTTCACCACATTTTTCCCTTAATCGTCTAGTCCAGTCGTCTCCAAACTGCGGGCCTGGGGGCCAGATGTGGCTCGCTTCTTGCCTTTATCTGGCCCTTGGGGCACTATTCCTCCCACTGACATTAACAATGGGGTATTATTCCTGTCACTGACACCAAAAGTGGTGCACTATTCCTCTACTGACATCAATGATGGGGCATTATTCCTCCCACTGATACCAATGATGGGACACTATTCCTCTACTGACATCACTGATGGGGCATTATTCCCCACTGACACCAATGGTGTGGCACTATTCCTTCCACTGATACCAATGATGGGGCATTATTCTTCCCACTGATACCAATGATGGGGCACTATTCTTCCCACTGATACCAATGATGGGGCACTATTCCTCCCACTGATACCAGAGATGGGACACTATTCCTCACACTGATACCAATGGAGGGGCACTATTCCTCTCAATGACACCAACAATGGGGCACTATTCCTCCAACTGACACCAATGATGGGGCACTATTCCTCTACTGGCACCATTGATGGGGCATTATTCAACCACTGACACCAATGGTGTGGCACTATACCTCCCACTAATACCAATGATGGGACGCAATTCTTCCCATTGATACCATTGAAGGGGCACTATTTCTCTCAATAACACCAACAATGGGGCACTATTCCTCCAACTGACACCAATGATGGGGCATTGCTCACTCCCACCAATGCCAGGACATTTTCTACTCCCACTGGCCACAGTCTGGCCCCCCTAAAGTCTGAAGGATAGTAAACTGGCCCTTTGATTAGAAAGTTTGGAAATCCCTGTTCTAGTCAAAGCTGATGTTAATATATTTTGGCCAACACTTATCTCCCCTTGAAAACAAATAAACATCTCTTAATGGACAATGTATTTTGACATCTTTAAGTAAGATGACTAAAACTGTACTAAAAATATCTTAATGCAAGTATGTTGCATATGTTGGGGAATGTTAAAGCCTAACTTTATTTTGTTCTGGGGATGGCTTTTTTCTCAAAGAATAGGTGCAGGAACTCCTACCTCTTCTGAGTCACCCTGAGTAATCCACCCCCTACCCACCTCTGAGCACCATCCCTTGGTTCAACCTCCTATCCACCTCCCAGTACTGCCCACTTTAGAGAATACAGAACCAAGTATCATATTGTTGTGCTAAGTAATTTGGAATTTATTAATGATAACAAGAAAAGCAGTAAAATAGATCCCCTGCAGCCAGAAACAATAGACCCCCTGGCAGCAATAGATCTTCCCAGTAACACTATATACCCCAGCAACAATAGACCCCGGCAGCAACAACAGATCTCTAAACCCTCTAGCAGCCAGTAATAATAGACCCCTCCCTCCCTCCCTCAACAATAGATCCCTACCAGCAACAAATGATCCCCCAGAAACATTACACTCCCCCACTCAAGAATAGATTTCCTCCAGCAACAATAGATCCCCTAGCAGCAAGCATCCATAAACCCTCTAGCACACCCCAGCACCCCTTGCCATTACATACATCCAGTGCTGGAGGTGCCAGAAGAACTGTGTTCCCCATGTTCCCGCTGAAAAATAGCCATGGTTCTGAGCACAGGCAGGAAGTCCCCGTCCCGCTGCCAGAACACAGCGCCATATGATGTACAGTTGTGTTCAAAATAATAGCAGTGTGTTGAAAAAAAGTGAATAAAGCTCAAAATCCTTCTAATAGCTTTTATTTCCATACACACAAATGCACTGGGAACACTACACATTCTATTCCAAATCAAAACATGAAGAAAACTATATAAAATTTGTGTTGTTCCTCTAAAACAAATTGAAGAAAAGTGAATATTAGACTGTTCAAAAAAATAGCAGTGTTTGTATTCTTCTTTACAAACTCAAACATTCACTATATAAACTGAAAAATGTTTGAAGATTTTGCTTTCCTTTGAATCACTTAATGAATATTTAGTTGTATAAGCACTGTTTCTGAGAACTGCTGTACATCTGTGTTGCATGGAGTCAACCAACTTCTGGCACCTGTGAACAGGTATTCCAGCCCAGGATGATTGGACTACATTCCACAGTTCTCTATTTCTTGGTTTTGCCTCAGAAACTGCATTTTTGATGTCACCCCACAAGTTTTCTATTGGATTAAGATCCGGGGATTGGGCTGGCCACTCCATAACGTCAATCTTGTTGGTCTGGAACCAAGATGTTGCACATTTACTGGTGTGTTTGGGGTCGTTGTCTTGTTGGAACACCCATTTCAAGGGCATTTCCTCTTCAGCATAAGGCAGCATGACCTCTTCAAGTATTCTGATGTATTCAAACTGATCCGTGATCCCTGGTATGCAATAAATAGGCCCAACACCGTAGTATGAGACACATCCCCATATCATGATGCTTGCACAACCATGCTTCACTGTCTTCACAGTGTACTGTGGCTTGAATTCAGTGTTTGGGGGTCGTCTGACAAACTGTCTCCGGCCACTAGACCCAAAAAACAATCTTACTTTCATCAGTCCACAAAATGTTGCGCCATTTCTCTTTAGGCCAGTCAGTGTGCTCTTTGGCAAATTGTAACCTCTTCAGCACGTCTCTTTTTCAACAGTGGGACTTTGCGGAGGCTTCTTGCAGATAGCTTGGCTTCACATAGGCGTCTTCTAATTTTAACAGTACTCACAGGTAACTTTAGACGTTCTTTGATCTTCCTGGAGCTGATTGTTGGCTGAGTCTTTGCCATTTTGGCTATTTTTCTATCCATTTGAATGGTAGTTTTTTCGCTTTCTTCCACGTCTTTCAGGTTTTGGTTGCCATTTTAAAGCATTTGTGATCATTTTAGCTGAGCAGCCTATCATTTTTCTGCACTTCTTTATATGTTTTTCCCCTCTCCAATCAACTTTTTAATCACGGTACACTGTTTTTCTGAACAAAGTCTGGAACGACCCATTTTCCTCAGAATTTCAGAGAGAAATGCACTATAACCAGCATGTACAACATTTGCTGCCTTCCTTCCTTAAATAAGGGCAATAATTGCCACCTGTTTTTCAAAGAATGAATGACTTCACTAATAGAACTCGACACTGCTATTATTTTGAACATGCCCCTTTCAATTAGTGATTCAATTACACAGAATCAGCAGCATGCATGTCATGACTGTTGGGTCTGTTGGATTTCTATTACTCTACTACACCTGCTAGTAAATTATTTGCCATGTAGAAATATCATTTCTACCAAAAACAGTGATTGATCAGGTTAGTGATGCCCGACTGCTATTATTTTGAACACAACTGTATGTAGCTGAGGCTACAAACAGTTCATATGGTGCTGACAGCCACTACATGTGTTAGTGAAGTAATTTGTTTGTTTAGAGCAACTTGGTCCAAACAAAATATTATATGGAGATCAGCTTTAATGCATTAATCAGGTTTTCATTGTGCAAAACAATTCCCTGCACACTGACCAGCTAGTCTGGTACAGGCATTGTCTAACAATTTGTGTTGAAAAAGAGGTTTTAGTTGCACTACATTTGCAAATACACGTGGAAGCCACACTGCCTTTATATTTCTGTCTGTGATCTTACTGGAGATGGTCCAAGAGTTATTAGAATCCAACTTCCTTCAGCCACAGACCTTCAATATAGCCAGGTGCACATTTGAACTGGTGGATGGTGCTACCAGAGACATAGTAAAAAAAAGTATTAAAAATATCACCAGTACACTGATGTAGCAAAGCAGAAAATAAAACTTTTTGTTCACCACCACATAATATGCAATGTTTTGGGGCCACTGAGAACCCATTTTGCTGCCTGAACATGGGGTCCTCAGCAGCCCCGAAACATTGCACATTATGTAGTGGTAAATCAGTGTTTTATTTTATGCTTTGCTATGTTGGTGTTCTTATTGGAGATTGTTCCCCTCTTTTCCTGTCAGTGGAAAAATATATTCGACAGACACAATGACAAAATACAGTTTAGAGTCTTGAGGAAAGGTTAGAACTTGTTGCTTTCTGTGTCTATGTCAAAGTGAAAATGCTCCATCCATTTCTTCTATGGTAAAAGGAAGGGAAGGAAAAACACTCCAATGTGACACATAAAATATGACAGAAGTTTCAACTCTTCCTAATTCTATCCAAAACGTGTTAAATGGCTGAATTTTAGATACTGTAACTGTACACAATAATTTGTTGCATCCATTTTAATTCTTTCTTAACTAGACCTGTGTTCTAATCTTTCAGGTTACTTATATTTTTTAATCAGTATTAAAACTCTGAAATCTGCCGGTCAGTCAGTGGACTTTTGTAAGGAATGTTCTTAACAAATATTTTGTTAAAAGAAGCAGCACCAGTTGTCATTCTTCCCAGCTGAAGGATATTAGGCCATTTTGATTTCTTTATTTTATTTTGTTGCTGCGCTTGAAGTTTTATTTCTTTATCTCCTTTCCCCTCTGAATGAGAATGTCTAATCATGAGTGGGTTAGCAGAGGCCTCATCAGCTCTTGCTAAACTACATGCTTATATGACAGAGGACTGTGGGAGATGTAGTTCAGCAACATCTGCAGCCCTCAAAGTGGTCCACCCCATGTATGAAATGTGAAATGCTGAGATTTGTCACAGAACACGCATGCTCCATTTTCTTATTCTTTTTTTGCTGAATGAAGAGAGTGTTTTTTTTAGCCCTGTTTACTAGCGAACTGCTTAGACAAGAACAAGCCAAGCTGAATGAGGCCAGAAAAATATCAGTGGTAAACGTGAACCCTACCAATATTCGTCCTCACAGCGATACTCCAGAGATCCGGAAATACAAGAAACGCTTTAATTCTGAGATACTTTGTGCAGCATTATGGGGTAAGTCAACTTTTGTTTTGGGGAAAAGTACATTTTTGCTGAATTTTCCTTTAGCCTAATTCCCTAATAATTTTTATGCAGTTTGCCTTTCATGAAAACTTTCATGAACCACAGTACCTTTGTAAAGCACTGACCTGGAAAAAGTATTCAAATTAGAAAGACCACATGAAGTCAGAACTCTTAATCTACATACCTGTCCTGGGGAGTGGCTCAAATTAATCAAGCTTCAATTTACATGAAAGCCAAGCTGCTAGATTTTTTTATCAAGTACATCAATTTTGAAAGAAATGTGTGGGCTGCCATTTGAAAGTGTTAGCTGCTGTGTCTTGCTTCAATATGTCATTATTATGGACCCCAACAACTCCATAATGAAAGTCAGAGAAAAGTTAGATGTTCTTATGTCTACTGTTTTTGGGTCAGTGACTCTGACATATTGAAGACAAAGCATCATGAAAGCTGGGTATAGACAGATCAAAGTTCATAATTTGTGACTGCCCCCTCTTGATAGAAGTCTGTCATTAGAATGACTTCTGTCAAACGGGAATGTTGGAAAACTTTTCTTGATCTGTGTATTCTGACAGTGGAGGGTCCTGCATAGAGAATACAATATTCCTGCAGGGAGTAATTCCTTCATGCATCTCACTTGTGCGAATGGAGAAAGCTGTGTTTGTTGGCTGAATTAAACAAAACACCTATGCCCAGCTTAACAGGCAGTCAACTAGCATTTTTAAATGAAGCAGCCTGCAATGTCAGCTTACAAATTTCTCTTATTGTGTTGAAGATGAGGAACATTGGACTATTAGGAGTATTTGTGATATGCACTTAATGGTTTGTGGCAGCTCTCTAATCCTAAGGAACCTTTTAGATGGTCCTAGTGGAAACCTGTAGGGAATTAGGAGATTTCAGGGAAGGACAAACCACTCTACAGGTGAAGTCCAGAAAGTTTGCTGTTCAACAGAAAAATCCAACACATTTTGGGGGCTAGAGAACATACAATAGAAGGTATAGTCAATGACAGATTTAGCTATACAATACTTGTCAATTAATGGTAACTACAGTATGGGTTTAGTGTTTTAGAAATTCTTAATGACGCATCAATTCTTCTCATTTATAATACATTCATTGCATTTGGACCACCTTGATAGTGAATAATACTTAAACAAAAATATTAAATAAACAACTAATCTAATATCATGATAATATATTTAAAATTCATATAATCATGTGGTCATGTATAAAGCAATCTAGTAATAATTTGAAAATTATTAGGGAAAAAGTATACAGTTTGAAAAAATGTTAGGAAAAAGTTGACTGGAAATTCAAAGACTAAGGTCTGGACTGAACTGAACAAGCAGCATAGGAATCAATCTAAATTGGAATGGCAGTAAAATGTTAAATCCCAGCATATGTTTGTCTTTGTGGGAACACAAATAACGTATAGTACAGAAAATAAAGACCAGTACTTGTCTATGTATAAGATTATGAAAGGAGGGAACAGTAGTAATAACCGCTAGTAATAATAGAAGGATAGGATAATCAAGAAACTGTGTGAGTGTAGGAAGCCCCGTGGTCAGTGTGGGAGAAAAAACAATATGCAGATACAATTTTCACAAGATTTCCCATGCCTTTAGCGATCGCACCCCCCCCCCAAAAAAAACATCAGTGAACCACCTCCATGCTTCACAGTGGGGATGGTATTCTTGTTGACCCCTCTTCAAACTTAGTTGTGACCATAAAGCTCTATTTTGGCCTTGTCACTCCAGATTTAGAGTGCCAAAAGCTGTGAGGCATGTCAAGGTGTTGTTGGGCATATTGTAACTGGGCTTTTTGTGGCATTGGTGCAGTAAGGGCTTTTTTCTGGCAACTCGACCATGCAGCTCATTTTTGTTCAAGTATTGTGCTTTTTGAAACAACCACATTGTCTTTTTCCAAAGCAGCCTATATTTCTCCTGAGGTTATCAATGGGTTTTTCTTTGTATCCCAAACAATTCTTCTGGCAATTGGGGCTGCAATCTTTCTTGGTCTACTTGACCTTGGCGTAATATCAAGAGATCCCTGAATTTTCCACTTCTTAATAAGTGATTGAACAGTACTGACTGGCATGTTCAAGGCTTTGGATATCTTTGGATATCCTTTTCTATCTTTATAAATTCCATGACCTTGCAGGTCTTTTGACAGTTATTTTCTGATCCCCATGGTTCAATATCTAGCATGCTCAGTGCATCCACCTGAGAGCTAACAAACACATTGACTAATTATACACAAACTCTAATTGCAGTTGTAAAAAGCCATAGAAGTGAGAAATTAACCTTTAAGTGCCATTTTAACCCATGCATATGTCACCTTGTGTGTCTGTACCAAGGTCAAACATTCCAGTGTATCTAAACTTTTGATCAGGGCCAATTGTGTCTGTTACCATTATGATTTAGAAAGGAGCCAAACAACTATGTGATAATAAATGGCTTCATATGATCGCTATCGTTAAATAAAAGAGAGTTTTTTTGGCATGATCAGTCATATTTTCAATATCAGTGCCAAAATTTCACGATTTCTGCCAGAGTATGTAAACTTTTGTGCACAACTGTGTGTGTGTATCAGATTATTTTCCAATGGTTACCAGATTGTTTCATATATGTATGGCTAAAGTCTTTCCATACAATGTTTTATCAAGTTTTGAGTATTTTTTATTGAATTATTATTATTACTATTGTATAGTATATATTATGTATTAATAAATGTATCAATTTACCATTAGATTTGTTGATGTGCTGCCTTGAAAAGTTACATACTGTATTTCTAAAACACTAGACCCATATGTTCGTTAACTCTAATAGGTGAACATTTTAATGAGTCATATCCTGATGAAGGAGGTCCCTCGTAGGCCCTGAAATGCATTGACTTTTCTTGTTGAAAACAAATAAAACTTTCTGTACTTCACAAGTGGATGAGCCCTTTCTTCACTCAAATCCCCATACATATTTTTTTAATTACAGTTTTCCTTTTATGGACATTTATAGAAACTTAAACGGTAAATTTGGTTGGCATGAAACAGCAATTCTAGGAATTTAGTTGCAGATAACTAATTAATGTACCGTAATTAATTGATAATCTTGATAATATTCTTTATTATAAAATGCTAGATTAATCAACAATAAAATTCCTGTCAGAAGCTGGCTGTTGGGGTTTCCTTAGTTTAGAAATGTTAGATCAGCAAGATTTACCATGAATGGTTTGTAAATATCCCATTAATTTTACAGTCTAGGTCTAGGACATAGACACTGTTTGAGTTTCTGCATTTTAGGTTAGGCTACAGGCACAGTAAATTTGTTTTGCATATTTTCATTATTTTATTTTGTCCGTGCTTAAAAGATATACAGTTTAAAAAATATTTTGTTTTCATTCAGGTAAATATGAAATATTGCATATCAATATTATGCATTCTCATTTTTGGCAGGAGGTGGAATTTCAGTCTGTTCCTTGCATATTTTCCAGTCTATCCCTTCTTTCTGCTGATAAAAGCCTGTTTACACAGCTCAGTAACTAAAGCTAAAGTTTACATACACAAGTTAATGAGTAAGCAGAGTGACTCATCCTGCTCTTTCTGAATTACTCCATTCAATTTCAACAACTGCTCTCATTAGATAACCAACAGTGCTCTGGGATTCTTTTTAAAAACTGACCCTATTAATATTCATCAGATCACAGAGTGATATGCAGGGCCGGGAGAAGGGGGGGGGGGTAGGAGGGGGACTGCCCTGTGCACTGTCGTATCATGTGAGGTAGGGGGCACCACAAGGAAATTGGGGGAGGAGATTTGTGTGGGGAGGGGGAGGCAGGGGGTAAGAGTTGTTTTAGGAAGGGAAATTTAGGAAGGTGTGCTAGGAGTGGTGATTTGGGGGGATTTGTGTTGGGAGGGGAAATTTTTTTTTGGGGGGGGAGATTTGTACTAGTATGGATAATTGGGGGGGATTTGTGCTAGGAGGGGAAATTTGAGGGGATGTGTACTAAGATAGGGGATAGGGGGATTTGGAGAGGGGGAGAGGATTTGTGCTAGAAGGGGAAATTTGGGGGGTAGAGGATTTGTGCAAGGAGGGTTTTTTTTTTTTGTTGGGTCAGGGGGATTTGTGCTGGGGCATATGGGAAGAGAGAGGATTTGAGCTGAGGGGATGGGGAGGGGGGGGGGGAATATTTGTGCTGGGATGGGGGATTTCAGTAGGATGGCAGGTTTGTACTGGAAGGGAAAATTTATAATTAGGGGGTAAGTTTGAAAATTCATGCTCGTTTTTTTTTTTAGGGGGGGATTTTTGCTAACGCATAATGCTCATACATCTTGGTGGGGGGGGGGAATCAATTTGGCATGTTTGCCCTGAGCTCTAGATGACCTTGTCCCAGCACTAGTGATATGTATCAGACACTTTTTATATACTAAGCTTTATCACTTCAACCAGTGTACACAATAGTTATGAAATTTGTCTTGTAGTGCTAAACACATAAAATTAAAAACTGCTTTTTAAAAGTATATTGAAGTTAATGTAAACTGGCCAGCATGTGCTGACTGATATATCAGGCAAATTGATACTCTGCATTTGAATTTATCATGAATAATTTCAGTTTCACAAACATTTGGTGCTACAAATCTGTTTTTTCTGCACACAGGTGTAAACTTACTAGTGGGCACAGAGAATGGGCTAATGTTGTTGGATCGCAGTGGGCAAGGAAAGGTCTACAACCTTATCAACAGGAGGAGGTTTCAACAGATGGATGTTCTAGAGGGACTGAATGTCCTGGTAACCATATCAGGTGTGGTATTGACATTTTTCCTATCTTGTTATACTTACAATAGTGTACAAGAAACCAGTGGGGCACTGTGTCTTTGTCTATAGCACAAACCAAGAGCAGATATTGAGTCCCACCTCCCTGACCTTCAAAGTTCTAGGCAGTCAGCTGTTCCTTCTGCCACCCTCCCTGCATGTGTTATTGATGCAAATAAACGATCAAAGTCATTCACTGTAGACTATTTCATAGCATTATGAGTGACTCAAAGATATTAGAATTTATAGTGCAGAATAAGAGCTTGAACACTCAAAGGTTTTTTTTTTAAGGGACTAAAATTGTACGGGATAATGACAAACAACTGTAAGTTACAGTTCAGGCTCTTTTAAGTTTTACTATTAAATCATTTGGGTATTTTTTTTAGAATTGTACCTGGAAAGGTGTGAGGTAAAAGAAAAAAAGAAAGTATTGTAATGAGACAATGGCATTACCACCAAGTATTTTTGTTAGATCTGGTTAACTAATTACAAGATTTGAATAGTGCATGGTATTTCATACCTACACAAACTTTTGTTATTGCATCAACAACATCATGTATTAACAGGATATATATATATATATATATATATATATATATATATATATATATATATATATATATATATATAATGCATATTCATTAGCTTCTGTTCTTAAATGTAAGTATAAATATACACTAATATGTAAGTTAAATCCAATCCTTTCGAATTTTTTTTTCTCAAGACTTGTTGTGTTATATGTTTCATTAGGGAAAAAGAACAAGCTAAGAGTGTATTACCTTTCCTGGCTGAGGAATCGGATATTGCACAATGATCCAGAGGTAGAGAAAAAGCAGGGCTGGATAACAGTAGGGGATTTAGAAGGCTGTGTGCATTATAAAGTTGGTAAGTTTTCTTTTTTGTAATACAGTATAATGTACACATGGTGTGTAGTTCTCAACAGCTAATTGGATATAGTCTGATATTATTGTTTTTAGTAAAGTGGCCCAAAATCCTTCTTCAGTCCAAAGCTTTTTTTTTTTTTTTTTTTACAATCCCCCATCCTCGTCATTGCCCTATCACTAATCTGAAATACTAAACTATCAGAATTTACCAGTCAGTGACAGCTGACTGTTGTCACCGGTTGGCTTGCTGTACCAGAATAACACCATTTGACAACATCTGCGTGTCCTGCCTGTGAGGTTGTGCTCCAGCATCCATTGTTGAAGAGGTCTTGAGCTTCTATTGGGTAGGGAGTGGTCAGCTTGGCAAATGAAAAGTGGGGAGGTGAAAATTAGCATACTGTAGATGATAAGAACAGTTTAGATCTGATATAAACTGGTATTGTCTGATTGTTCATAGTGAAATATAGTATCAGCACAATATTTACTTTGTGCTAGTATTTCCTTTACATACTTTTATACATACTTCAGTTAAAGCACACTCTGTTGCTGAAAAATAACTCTGTTGCTGTAAAAGAAGACACTTAATACTTACCAGTCTGGGTATACATTCATGGAATCCTTGCTTTGGTGCTTTACAAAAGTGCCTGGCATAGTAGTGACAGAGGAACCACAGAATGTGGTGGAGGAAGCAGGCATCCAACATACCTGGAAATGTGTTGGATACAAAGATTTTTGGAGCAGCTTTGTTTAGCAACAGAGCAAAGATTCATGAACAGATGTCAGGAGAGGCAGGTATGAAGTGTCTTCTTTTATAAGAACATTTTCATTTTTCTGCTTTCAGCAACATGGTCACTTAAAGTATTCTGTGTACTGTCTATCAAGATAAAAGAAAAATGTTATGGTTTATCCTTAGTTTAGTTATTATCTGAGCACAGAACCATGTGGTAACACAGTATGAATAAAGGTAATTGTCCTTTTGCATTTTTATTCTTACATCAAGACCTACCATGATAAAACCTGTATTTGTTTCACTCTTTTTTCTAGTAAAATATGAAAGAATCAAGTTCTTGGTTATTGCATTAAAGAGTTCTGTAGAGATTTATGCCTGGGCTCCAAAGCCATACCATAAGTTTATGGCTTTCAAGGTATGTAGCATGTCATTTTTTTTAATGAATATTTTATGTGAATGTGTGTGATCGTGTGTCTGTGTGTATATATATATATATATATATATATATATATATATATGTGGCTTTCTTTAACAAAAGTAAAGTAAACAGTTTACATTCTTGGTATAAAGAGAAAACCATACAACATGGCTGGGTCACCACCGATCTCTCGGGCCCACAGTGGGTTTAGGGTTCTCCCTTGTTTTGGGGTACAAACAAGCCGCAAGAGATCAACAAAACCATGTCCACCCTTTTTTCCGGCAGTGAACCACTCCAAATATCTCATGGACACTTGCTGCTTCCTTCCAGTTGCTTTTCAAAGCTTCTTTACATGTGGCTCAATCCTTTGAGGACCAAAAATATACCTGCTGTCCAGGACACACACCCGGCATTGTGTATAATGTGTATATATACAGGTGAAACTCGAAACATTAGAATATCGTGCAAAAGTTCATTTATTTCAGTAATGCAACTTAAAAGGTGAAACTAATATATGAGATAGACTCATTACATGCAAAGCAAGATAGTTCAAGCTGTGATTTGTCATAATTGTGATGATTATGGCTTACAGCTCATGAAAACCCCAAATCCACAATCTCAGAAAATTAGAATATTGTGAAAAGGTGCAATATTCTAGGCTCAAAGTGTCCCACTCTAATCAGCTAATTAAGCCATAACACCTGCAAAATGTTCCTGAGCCTTTAAATGGTCTTTCAGTCTGGTTCAGTAGGAATCACAATCATGGGGAAGACTGCTGACCTGACAGTTGTGCAGAAAACCATCATTGACACCCTCCATAAGGAGGCAAAGCCTCAGAAGGTAATTGCAAAAGAAGTTGGATGTTCCCAAAGTGCTGTATCAAAGCACATTAATAGAAAGTTATGTGGAAGTGAAAAGTGTGGAAGAAAAAGGTGCACAAGGAGCAGGGATGACTGCAGCCTGTAGAGGATTGTCAGGAAAAGGCCATTTAAAAGTGTTGGGGACTTTCACAAGGAGTGGACTGAGGCTGGAGTCAGTGCATCAAGAGCCACCACACAGAGATGGATCATGGACATGGGCTTCAAATGTCGTATTCCTCTTGTCAAGCCGCTACTGAACAACAAACAACGTCAGAAGTGTCTTACCTGGGCTAAAGAAAAACAGACCTGGTCTGTTGCTCAGTGGTGCAAAGTCCTCTTTTGTGATGAGAGCAACTTTTGCATCTCATTTGGAAACCAAGGACCCAGAGTATGGAGGAAGAATGGAGAGGCACACACTGCAAGATGCTTGAAGTCCAGTGTGAAGTTTTCACAGTCTGTGTTGATTTGGGGAGCCATGTCATCTGCTGGTGTTGGTCCACTGTGCTTCATTAAGTCCAGGGTCAACGCAGCCGTCGTCTACCAGGAGATTTTGGAGCACTTCATGCTTCCTTCCACAGACAAGCTTTATGGGGATGCTGACTTCATTTTCGAGCAGGACTTGGCAGCTGCCCACACTGCCAAAAGCACCAAAACCTGGTTCAATGACCGTGGGATTACTGTGCTTGATTGGCCAGCAAACTTGCCTGACCTGAACCTTATAGAGAATCTATGGGGCATTGCCAAGAGAAAGATGAGACATGAGACCGAACAATGCAGAAGCGCTGAAGGCCGCTATTGAAGCATCCTGGTCTTCCATAACACCTCAGCAGTGCCACAGGCTGATAGCTTCCATGCCACGCCACGAGGCAGTAATTGCTGCAAAAGGGGCCCAAACCAAGTACTGAGTACATATGCATGCTTATACTTTTCAGAGGTCCGTTGTTGTTCTGTGTACAATCCTTGTTTTATTGATTTCATGTAATATTCTAATTTTCTGAGATTGTGGATTTGGGGTTTTCATGAGCTGTAAGCCATAATCATCACAATTATGACAAATCACGGCTTGAACTATCTTGCTTTGCATGTAATGAGTCTTTCTCATATATTAGTTTCACCTTTTAAGTTGCATTACTGAAATAAATGAACTTTTGCAGGATATTCTAATTTTTCGAGTTTCACCTGTATATATACAGTTTGTATGTCTGGTCTATAAACAAAGCACAGTATAACACACCTGTGGTAAAAAAAATCCTCTTTACCAGTACGGAAGTATAGTACCACTTGTTGCCTAAATTTAATTTTATTGACAGGCATAGTCCCACCAATGTAAGGGATACAGCGGAACAGAACTACTTATAGCTGGCCAGCTCAGTTTTCCATACATCAATTGCATTCCACACTCACCTGTAAGCTCACTATTGCTTCAGCAAGCACAAAAATGAAAGGCCCCTTGACTGTGCTGATGAAAAATTGGCTATGATCAGCAGCTGACAAACCACAGATCATAATCACTCATTCACAATGTGACCAAATGAATAGGCTGCCCAAATGTCACACATGTTAAAACTTGTAAAAACATGCATCAATGTGTGTGTGTATTACTGGTACACATACACTCACCATCCACTTTATTAGGTACACCTGTTCACTGTTTGGTAACACAAATTGCGAATCAGCCAATCACATGGCAGCAACTCAATGCATTTAGGCATTTAGATGTGGTGAAGACGACTTGCTGAAGTTCAAACCGAGCATCAGAATGGGGAACAAAGGGAATTTAAGTGACTTTGCATGGGGCAAGGTTGTTGGTGCGAGATGGGCTGGTCTGAGTATTTCAAAAACTGCTGATCTACTGGGATTTTCAAGTACAACCATCTCTAGGGAAACCGAGACTCATCAGACCAGGCAATGTTTTTCCAGTCTTCTACTGTCCAATTGTGGTGAGAACTAATTTGCTAATTTCTACTTATAAGTACCACTTGGAGCATAAGCACCTTAAAGTGGTAATAAACCCAAAACCAGAAATGTAATATATTGCAGCTTACCAATCATTAGATGTGGTGGCTGAAGTAGATTTCTTTTTTTTTTTTTAAGGATTTTTTTCCCTCTGTTTTCACTTGGTGATCAGACCATTAACACTCCACCTGTATTAATGTGCCTACACTGTGGATGGAGGAGCATAGGGGAGACCTTTGAACAGCAGCAGTGTTAGCCTGGGGAAGAGCAATGTTAGATGTACCAGCGAATTTAAATAAACTAACAAACTGAAGCCAAACTCCAGCTAACACTTTTTAACCATTACCCGCCCGGCCTATAGCCATTTGGCGGCGGCAAAAATGCTTCACCATTCCAGGTGCACGCCATTTGGTGTGCTCCCGCACATGCGCAGTTCGCGCGGTTGCAGAGCCGCGCAGCGGCGCGATCTGTCACCGGTCGTGTACCTCGGACACAGCCGATGACAGATCTGAGTACCGGCCCCTGTTGCCGTTACCATGTGACTTGCAGCATCAGAATGGGGAACAAAGGGAATTTAAGTGACTTTGCATGGGGCAAGGTTGTTGGTGCGAGATGGGCTGGTCTGAGTATTTCAAAAACTGCTGATCTACTGGGATTTTCAAGTACAACCATCTCTAGGGAAACCGAGACTCATCAGACCAGGCAATGTTTTTCCAGTCTTCTACTGTCCAATTGTGGTGAGAACTAATTTGCTAATTTCTACTTATAAGTACCACTTGGAGCATAAGCACCTTAAAGTGGTAATAAACCCAAAACCAGAAATGTAATATATTGCAGCTTACCAATCATTAGATGTGGTGGCTGAAGTAGATTTTCTTTTTTTTTTTTTAAGGATTTTTTTTCCCTCTGGTGATCACTTGGTGATCACTTGGTGATCAGACCATTAACACTCCACCTGTATTAATGTGCCTACACTGTGGATGGAGGAGCATAGGGGAGACCTTTGAACAGCAGCAGTGTTAGCCTGGGGAAGAGCAATGTTAGATGTACCAGCGAATTTAAATAAACTAACAAACTGAAGCCAAACTCCAGCTAACACTTTTTAACCATTACCCGCCCGGCCTATAGCCATTTGGCGGCGGCAAAAATGCTTCACCATTCCAGGTGCACGCCATTTGGTGTGCTCCCGCACATGCGCAGTTCGCGCGGTTGCAGAGCCGCGCAGCGGCGCGATCTGTCACCGGTCGTGTACCTCGGACACAGCCGATGACAGATCTGAGTACCGGCCCCTGTTGCCGTTACCATGTGACCTGCTGTGACCAATCGCAGCAGGTCACATGACAGTTGTATACAAAGGATGGCTTCATTCATGCCATCCATTGTATACTAGTGCCTAGCTGTGAATGGTCACAGCAGGTCACATGCACATGTCATGTGATTAGTTGTGGCCAAATCACAGCTAAGCACAAAAAAAAAAAAAAAACCTGAATGAATCGATTTCATTCTGGTAAATGCTTGCTTATAGCAAAGTAATTCTTTGCTATAAGCAAATTGTGTACAAAAAAAAAAAAAGAAAATACTGATCACTTCCCCAAAGTAGTACAATGTTACTATGGTAACATTGTACTACTTTGGTCAATAAAATATGAAAAAAAATCTTTAAAAAAATGTAAAAAAAATGTAATACAAAATTAAAAATAATAAAAAGAAAAAAAAAATTTTTTTTTTTTCATACTGTCACCAGTCAGTGTCCCTGTTCACCGCCATGCCAGTTATATGATGACGCTGTACTGCACTGGTGACAGTATGTAAAAAAAAAATAGTGAAAATAATTTTTTTAATTTTTTAATTTTCCGAAAAATTATGACAAAAATAAATACAACTTCAAAAAACGCGCCATTCCTCTTATGAAGTACGTCGGACTGTCTACTCTGCAAAAAGGGGTCATTTGGGGATATCTGTACTGTTCTGACATTCTTGGACCTCAAGAAATTAGATTGGCCGTCAGTACTTCAGGATTGATCAATATTCAGATCTATACCATAGTTTTGTGAACTCTATAACTTTCCTACAAACTAAAAAATACATCCTAATTTGGGTTATTTTCACCAAAGACATGTAGCAGAATACATCTTGGCCTAAATTTATGAAGAACACTTATTTATTTACAAACATTTATAACAGAAACAAAGAAAAACGTGTTTTGTTTCAAAATTTTTGGTCTTTTTTTGTTAATTTAGTAAAAAATAAAAACCCCAGTGGTGATTAAATACCACCAAAAGAAAGCTCTAGTTGTTTGAAGAAAATAATAAAATTTTAGTTTGGGTACAATGTTGTATGACCGCGCAATTGTCATTCAAATTGTGAGAGCGCTGAAACGTGAAAAATGGCCTGGGCAGGAAGGTGTAAAATTGCCCGGTATTGAAATGGTTAAGAAGTTACAGCAACAGTTTTATTTTTCCTTTTGGGATAAAGGTTTTACATAAATAAAAGCTGACCATTGTAAGCACCCCTGTCAGTGGTAAATGGTTTGTCCCAACCCTCTAACTGCTACATCTGCATGGCAGCTTGTTCTGTTGTAAACAAGAGGCCTACTGACTAGATTTTCAGGTGAAAATAAAAGAAAGCCTAAATAAGAATACAAATGCAGCCATCACATTTAAGAATTGGTAAGCTGCAATATATTAAATGATTGCTTTTGGGTTTAATACTGCTTTAAGTAAGGATAGTATAGATTTAGTAAGTGGATTTAAAACAGAATAAAAACCAATAGCCTCCCATTGAAGCTTTTTTTTTTTTGTACAATAGCAGGAGGTCAAGGAGTGTGTTGGTGGTAAATGAGGTGCATATTCCCAAACTACTGACCACAAGCTGATCCCAGGAAAGAATTTTAGTGACTTTGATGCTAGACACTAGACTGCCCCTCCAGAAATGTATCACTTAATGGCATATTAAGAATAGATGAAAGAAGTTAGCCAGGAATCACAAGCATTCATGCAAAGCTGTAGGGAGCATTATAAAGTATATCTTCTGAAGAATGTACAGTATATTGAATTAGGCTGAGATGATCAAGGTAGTGACCAGCATTATTAGGCACATGAACAGTGATAGGCTGAAAATTTGCCCAGCAAACAATTCCAGGCATTTTCCCACACCCCATGCTTATGTGCATGGCATTTTCCCATGCTTTTATGTACCACATATTTCCAAATGTGGAAGTTTTGTGTTTGTAAATTATACTATGTCGATATACAGTACAGTCACTTACTGTATATGGCAGGCTTTATGCAGCAGCTGCGACCCCTCTAGCAAGGGAAAACACACAAAATGTTATCCTGGGCATAGTTTCAGCCTCTCGCTATCCATTTACATAAGGCCTTAATCTAAGGTGATTTGTCTGTCCAACCCCTACCATGTTTGTCGTTCACCTAAATGTTTGCTCTTACTTTTTTTATTATTAAAATCAAAGTATAGACATACTAACAAGTATAAAGCTATCTACTGTATCTACTGTACAGCTCTTTAAAACCTAACAGCAAAATAGCTGACATGTACAACAGCATTGTTATAGCTGGTATGCTAAGCCTATACTTGTGCTACGGTAACATGCAGCAACACACATTACATGCTGTGGTGTGCTGGAAAAACAGAATGGTTGGCTGCACAAACAGCAATGTGGTGGATGAAATCCTTTATTGGAATCCTTTACATGCAATATAATAAGAACATGACAGCTCCAAGACAGGACAGAGGAGCAGTAGACACATTTCACACGAACACGTGCGTAGTCGTTACTGATTTTCACTTGTCAGAGGAAGCTTTAAACAGAATATAACAACTGATGAAAATTGGCGATTAAACTTGAATCCGGAAAAACATAGTATACAAATCACATGACAAACTTTAAACATGACACATATACTGACAGAAATGAAAACGCAGCTCTGATATGCGTTGTACCTAGAACAAATCACAGATATATAAACTTTGGAACTGGCATAATAAGCAGGGATACAAAAACCCTTATTGTGTACAGTGCAGACAGAAAGGAAGAAAGGGGAGAAAAAAAACAACCCTAAATATAATAATGAAAATTATATGTAATGAAGAAAAATAAAATCAATCCTACTTATACAAATGAGTAACATCCCACTCGGTATTCAGCCCTTGAGGGATGTGTGTCTGCAAATGAAAAAAAAAAAAACCTCCCGTTTGCACAAAACACAAAAGGTGTCACCCCCTCTAGCAGGAGTCTTAACCCTTTCTATCACTAGGATGCCAACTATGGTTCAATCACCACAATGTCGAAATGTCTAGCTACATTGGTGGAACGATTGTTTCTCACATCACCCAGATGTTCATGAAACCTATCCTTCAACTTTCTGCTTGTCTGTCCTACATATAGTGTATGACAAGCAAGGCAGGTGATGAGATAAATGCTGTAGTGCTCCACGTGCCAGGTATTGTGAATAGTACCACAACACACCTCCAAAACACATGTAGTACTCTGCAATGAAGTTTGTTAAAATCCTTGTAAAAAAGAACGAGACAGCGCTATATGATGTTATGATCTTTTTTACATTCACTTTTACATGTTTATAGTTAATATATTATCTACCAGATATCTGCTGTATTTTTGTATTTTTGATTTCTTGCATTGTTTTATATTGTTTTTCCGTGGCGCGCCTCTAAATAGATAAATTTGCCTATGTTGAAATTCTTGCAGTGTACATAGTTCACCCGAAGGGGGGGGCGGGGGGTTCTTAACAAAAGTGGAGTTACTGTTTAAGCTAGCCATACACTGTTGGTTTTCTAAAAAAAAAAATATATTTCTCCATCACTCAAGCAAGCTGACTGGAGGAATTCAAACTGTGCAAGTAAAAAGCAGCAGTCTTATGACAACCCCATATTGGCACTGATGTGTCAATTGTAGAGTCACTTCTACAATCTCAGTTGTTCAATATTTGATCATATATCTGTTGGCCTTATATATCAAGCTTGGCCCATACATAACACTGTGGTCACCAGATCAGGTGAGAAAACCACCTCATCTGCCTAATGATCCTTACAGTATGTGTACTGAAAACTCAGAATCTGCAAGTAATTCATGAATGTTTTATATGAATGATAACAAACAATGTTACTTTTTATTTTCTTTGTAATTTCAGCTGCCCAATAATAAAATTGAAAGTATATGTTTAGTCCTTTACAGATCTCCAGCATAGACCATTGCTCTGTGATCTCACTGTAGAAGAAGGTCAAAGGTTAAAAGTAATATTTGGCTCAAGCACTGGTTTCCATGTAATTGATGTTGATTCTGGAAATACATATGACATCTACATTCCATCTCATGTAAGTAAATATGTACAGAATGTGGTTGAGGTATATTGTTGTACCTTTAAATTACTAGAAACATTTGCCTACACTTTATTTTTTGTAGTTAAACATATTTGTTAATTATGCTATGATATGGCACAGAATTTGTCAGTACATTTACAGCGGGGTTCAAATATCTAATCACCCATATGTCCAGGGCTTACGTTTATAGTGGTTCTGGGCGTAAAAAAAGTGAGAGTCCCTTAAAAACAAATTCTACGCCAGTACAAGATTGGGCGTTGAGAAAGTCTGTTATGATTATAAATATATTTATAATATATATTTATTATATAAACTGTAATTTAATATTTGTGACAAAACTAAAATATAGAAGTAAAGGTAAATATAATGTAATGCACCTTGTGAGGTACATCATTTCTATTCTTGAATTGTTTATGGAGACAGGCTGAAAATGTTATATACTGGTAGAAAATAATTCAAGATATTATAGGTTTAAGTGATATTAAAGTCTTTTTTAAAAAAAACAAAAAAAACAAACACACAGCGGAGCCTGGATCCTCCGCTTCTCGGGTCCTACGCCGGCTCTACCAGCCACTCCCTCCTGTCAAGTGCCACCACAGTAAGCAGCTTGCTATGGGGGCACACATGAGCAGGCGCGCTCCCGAACTGCGTCTCTGCATGTCCATTCACACACAGAGCCGTGACTCGGCTCTGCTCTCCCCCTTCTCTCTCCTGATTGGCTCGCAGGCTGTGATTGACAGCAGCGGGAGCCAATGCCTCAGTCAATCAGGAGTGAAAGAGAACTGACACTTTTGTGGACATCACTGGATCGGAATCGGGCTCAGGTAAGCGTTGGAAGGGCTGGGGGGGGACTACTGCAATCAGAAGGTTTTTTTAGCTTCTTGCAAAGAAAAGATGAACATAAAAAATCCTTGAGCCTTCAGAACCACTTTAAGTATAGAAAAATCCCAACGAAAGCTTGCAATTTATGTTTTAAATGATATGATGCTTGTGTCTAAACTTGATCTTCAATTCTTGTTTTCAGATTCAAGGGAACATTACCCCACATGCCATTGTCATCTTGCCCAAAACAGACGGCATGGAAATGCTTGTGTGCTATGAGGATGAAGGGGTGTATGTTAACACATATGGCCGAATTACTAAAGATGTGGTGCTTCAGTGGGGTGAAATGCCCACTTCAGTAGGTTAGTGTTTTTGGTAATTGACAAAACAATGCCATTAGTGTACATTGCTTATGTAATTAAATAATCAGGTCTTTGTGGGCACTGTGGATATCCATATTAAAACAATAGTCCTTGGCACACAGGAGTTTCTCTTTTCCCCACTCCTATTTGTCCTCTGTGTAGCTTTATAGTATAGTTGTGTAAACTAGTACACAACAACCAATGTAGATTGTCTTTATTCACCAACTATATCCTCTTAACTCTCATGAATCTTCTGCTTTCCTTGTCAAATGTACACCGAGCACTGGATACCTTTTCTGCCCTCTCAGGTTATAGGTTGAATCTCTGCAAAATGGAAGCTTTGCCTATTAACATTTCTTCTTCTGCCCTCTTGGTCCTACAGTCTTCATTTACATATCATTGGAAAACATAAACGCAAATATTTGGGAATTTTCCTTAACGCCCAGCCTCTCAACTGTATGCCGCCAACTATCGTCCACTGTTTAGAGAAAGCAATCACACTTTGTTATGCTGGAAACCACTCCTCCTTTCTTGGATAGACAGAACTACCTCTCTTAAAATGACTCTACTTCCCAAACTCATGTTTCTCTAGGAAACACTACCCATTAAGGTCCCTTCTCTGAGTTAAAGAAGTTGTACCAAATGTTCCTAGATTTTACTTGGGGAAATTGTAGACATAGAGTCTCGAGACGAGTATTGTTGGCACACAAATCTCAAGAGGGATTGAACTTTTTGGACTTTATGAAATATTATTTAGCCACTCAACTCCACCATCTGGCTTCTTTGTCTACTTTGCGTCCTTGTAATAGATGGACTGAAATTGAACATCTCTGGATAGTTCCAATTCATACTCTTTGATATAATCTTTAAAAGTGAAGGTTGACAATGCTCGTCTTCTGACATCTATGGTTCATACCAAAAATATCTGGGCTTACTGTAACGCTAAATGACATCTATCAGTTAAGAACTCTCAGATGGTTTCTTTTGTGGGTAATCCCCTTTTACCTTCCAGTCTCAAGAGACAGGTAACGTCTCCCTGGTAGCAAATGGCCTTTTTTATTATCGTGATATTGTAAATCCCATATCTCTGAAGTTGCTTACTTTTTTGAACTACAGTCTAAGAATCCTTTGCCATCTCTATTCTCCTATCTTCACATACAGCATTACTCTCAAACTTGGCAGACAAGCTTATATTTTCTAAATTATCTCCTTTTGAGAGAATATGTCCTGGATGGTCCTAAGGGTCAGAAGCTCATTACCGATATGCAATGGATATAAAAAGTCTACACACCCCTGTTAAAATGTCAGGTTTCTGTGATGTAAAAAAAGAGAAAACCTTTAATGTAACCTATAAGCTGTACAACTCAGTTGAACAACAAACTGAAATATTTTAGGTGGAGGAAAGTAAAAATAAAAAACTAAAATAATATGGTTGCTTAAGTGTGCACACCCTTAAACTAATACTTTGTTGAAGCACCTTTTGATTTTATTACAGCACTCAGTCTTTTTGGGTACGAGTCTATCAGCATGGCAAATCTTGACCTGGCAGTATTCAGGTCTGGGCTCTGTCTGGGCCATTCCAGAACTTTAATCTTCTTCTGGTGATTTGGAACTGTTCATAATTCCCTCTACCTTGATTAAGGCCCCAGTTCCAGCTGAAGAAAAACAGACCCAACGCATGATGTTGCCACCACCATGCTTCACAGTGGGTATGGTGTTCTTTTGATGATGTGCAGTGTTGTTTTTGCACCAAACATATCTTTTGGAATTGTGGCCAAAAAGTTCAACCTTGGATTCATCAGACCATAACACATTTTCCCACATGCTTTTGGGAGACTTCAGATATGTTTTTGCAAAATTTAGCCAGGCTTTGATGTCTTTCTTTGTCAGAAAAGCTTCGTCTTGCCACTCTACCCCATAGCCCAGACATATGAAGAATACGGGAGATTGTTGTCACATGTACCACACAGCCAGTACTTGCCAGATATCCCTACAGCTCCTTTAATGTTGCTGTCGCCCTCTTGGCAGCCTCCTAGACCAGTTTTCTTCTCATCTTTTCATCAATTTTGGAGGGACGTCCAGTTCTTGATAATGTCACTGTTGCACCATATTTTCTCCACTTTATGATGACTGTCTTCAGTGTGTTCCATGGTATATCTAATGCTTTGGAAATTGTACCCTTTTCCTGATTGATACCTTTTAACAATGAGATCCCTCTGATGCTTTGGAAGCTCTCTGCGAACCATGGGTTTTGCTTTAGGATGTGGCTAAGAAAATGTCAGGAAAGACCTACTAGAGCATCTGAATTTTATTTGGAGTTAATCAGAGGCACTTTAAATGATGGCAGCTGTGTACTAACTCATATTTAACATGATTTTGAATGTGATTGCTTAATTCTGAACACAGCTACATCCCCCTAAAATATTTTGGTTTGTTATGCAATTGAGTTGTTCAGAATATACAGTAGGTCACATTAAAGGTAGAAATAATTCTGAAATTATTTATCTTTGTCTCATTTGTTTACATCACATGACATTTTTAACAGGGGTGGGTAGACTTTTTATATCCACTGTATATAATTTACATCTTTAGATACTTCCCCCTGTCTCTAAACATGGCTACATGCTAAAGTGGGAAAGTGTGCTGGGCCAAACTTTGGAATTGGAGGAGTGGGAAGATATCTGGGATAATGCAAACAAAACTTCTTTATGTACCCTTTAAAGAGAATCAATATAAAATCTTGTTTTATTGGTACCATACCCCTGAAACATTACATGCAATTAATCCTGCCCTACTTCTGCAATGTTGGCAATGTGGGGACGCTATTTCACATTTATTGGGAATGCCCAAAAATGTGTCCTTTTTGGGAAGCCACTAAATCTCTTTTGCAGTCAATTTTTATTTTTCGGTTCCTTTGGACCCAGTTTGTTTTATATTAGGGCTTCCTTAACCGAATATAAATAAAACTGCTATTAAATTGGTTAACCATGTTCTTGCAGAAGCTAGGTGTCTGATTACTTTGAAATGGAAACAGCCCTACCCCCCCTCCAGGGTTGATTTAAATAAGTGTATACATTATTTCTATAATATGGAGTATTGTTGGAATACGATGTTTATGTATTTTGTGCAACAACTACATCAGTATTCAGTAGAGATATATTCTTCAGATAGTAGATGGCAGTGTTTATAAGTTTGTAGCTGCATCTCTGGTATATTTTGTATTTTCTCTAAATAAAGTTTCCTTTTTCCTTGTTGCAGTGAAGCAGAAAAGCACATGTGGACTGTGCACTGCCTGTTCTGTAGGGCTATATACAGAATCTCTAACAAGCATTGGACTGCCTGTTTGAATAATAGCCTTTTTCAATTCAATAAGATCTGGCGTCCATGGAATCTTTTGGAACCATGACCATAAAATGCCTAGTTAGGGTGATCTGGTTTGTGCAGAGCATGTTATGGGTGCCAGGTTGGGGTGTACCTGTATGTTCTCTTCTCTTATCTTTTCCTCCACTCTTTTTTTCCTTCTTTTCCTTTTCTTTTTTGTGACATACTGAGGGCAGCTATATTGGATTATCCATAAATTGGACTTTTCTCTTTGTCCACCCTCTACCAGATGATAGCCATCATAGCCTGATAGTTTATTTGGTCTATCTTTTCTCTAAGAGGGTCTTCCTAGTTTTAACGCTGTTATGTGATTAATGTATAATTTCTATGACTCGCTGATTATTTTTGGATAGTGATCAGTCTTCTGGACTATTCCGTGGACATTGATGCCTATAGTAATTTATTTTTAATACATAAACTGCCTTAATCCTTCCTCCAGGAATGTTGTATATTCTTGCCAAGTGTCATTTCACTATATTTGTGGATGTTTTTGTTATTCTTTGACTACTTTCTGACAAAATTTGACTTAAAAATTTTGAATTAAAAACAAACAAAAAAAAGGTTCTTAAAACTTATGCCTAACCAAGACAAACTCTGTACATTTTGGATACAGTTGGCAACCATGGCCACATAAAGCTGAAAGTCTTAAAGGGATTCTGTAATGGGAGATTAATGGGGCTGTCATTACTGAACTCTCTTTATAGAATCACATTTCACTTTAATACTATCTGAGTCACTGACTTGAAATGAGCATAGGGATAAGAAGTCCTGATACTCATTTACATCAGACTTGTTTTGGGTTTGTAACTGAGACATACTAGCATTTTCAGAAAGTGTCCTGTAATGGCAGATCCTGTTCTTCTTTTATGACAGAGTTGCTTTAAAAAAAAAAAAACATGAGGTCTGCATTAGCATTACCCTTATGTACTCACAGACTTTGGATGTCCCACAGCCAAGTAAGCTGACAATGTAATCCCTGTTAGCTACATGTAATAGAAACGGTCATTAAAGAAATGGTGCTCAAGCAGGTAGGAACACCTTGTCTGAGTGCTATTGTTTTTTCCCTTGATAGCCTGGCACTAGAGGTACCTGCTGATCATAGCCATAGGCATAAACGTGAACAGACTCTAGAGGCCAAACTAATACACTGGCCAGCCAGAACAGAAGACTTAATTGCCCATACACACATACTGTAAATTTATTTCATTCTGCCTGCAGGCTGAACGAAAGAAATCCAACAGCACAAATTGATGTATCTAGCCTGCAAGCTATTGTATTCTGGCAGCTGGCTTCAGCAGCTGTTAGAATACCCAGATAGTATCAAGTGGTGCCAACACAGGCACCCATGGCTTCAATTTCGGCCAATTTGACATGCATCAGTCAAAATTCTAGCCATGTATGGTACTCCTTATTTTTGTTCATTTGTGCCTACACATTCAGTTGCTCTGGTAACTTTACTTCAAAGAGTACTTTTAATTTAATCCAATCCTACATTCATCCTCATGTGCAGACGGCAGCTATGCTATGACATCATGCTATGCCTGTGATTGAGCAAGATATCTCTAGCATATTAGCCCCTTCCTATTTTCATTTTAGGGCTTTTGGCAAACATGCAGCTTTTCCTGTGGAAATGTGGGGGTATGCACTCTAAACACCCCTGGGGAAAATTAGTGGTCAGCATAGAAAGTTCAGTTCCAACTGTTTGACCCCCTACTGTTTAGTCAAGAGGTGTCAGAGAAATCTTACAGACATATAGGCATTCTCCTCAAAGCCCCCCCCCCCCCCACACACACACACACACGCACGCACACACAGGCCATGTTTCTAGATATCTAGCATCACCAGTCTAAAGCGTGTGTTGTCCTTTGCAGCATATATCCATTCCAATCAGATAATGGGCTGGGGAGAGAAAGCTATTGAAATCCGTTCAGTGGAGACTGGGCACCTGGATGGAGTATTCATGCACAAGAGAGCCCAGAGGTTAAAATTTTTGTGTGAGAGGAACGATAAGGTATGTACTATATAAGAACTATGGTTTGACTGTTGGATTATGGTTTAACATCATTCACTCACCCACAGAAAACTAAAGTACACTGCTCAAAAAAAATGAAAGGAACACTTTTTAATGAGTATAGCATCAACTGAATTAAACTCCTGGAATATTGATCTGGTCAGTTAAGTAGGGGGATGTTAATCACTTTCAGTTGCTTTGGTGTTGATGAAATTAACAACAGGTGCACTAGATAGGCAATAATGAGATGACCCCCAAATCAGGATTGGATTTCCGGGTGGAGGCCATTGACATTTTTTTCCCTACTCATATTTTCTGACTTTTGTTTTCACTAGTTTTCTTTTACATTTGGTGAGGGACAGTATCACTACTGGTAGCATAAGGCGATACCTGGACCCTACAGAGGTTGCACAGGCCTACTCCTCCACGATGTTACATCAATATGTGCCATTGCCAGAAGGTTTGCTGTGTCTCCCAGGCAGTCTCAAGAGCATGGAGGAGATTCCAGAGACAGAGACAGGCAGTTACTCTAGGAGAGCTGGACAGGACCATAGAAGGCCCTTAACCCATCTGCTCCTTTGTGCAAGGAGGAAAAGGATGAGCACTGCCAGAGCCCTACAAAATTACCTCTAGCAGGCCACTGGTGTGAATGTTTCTGAGCAAACAATCAGAAACACACTGTCCTTTAGTGGGCCCTGTGCTCACTGCCCGGCACCATAGAGCTCAATTAGCATTTGTCATTGAACACAAGAATTGGCAGGTCTGCCACTGGAGCCCTGTGCTTTTCACAGGTAAGAGCAGGTTCACCCTGAGCACATGTGACAGATGTGAAAAGGGTCTGAGAAGCTGTGGAGAACATTATGCTGCCTGTAACATCGTTCATCATGACCGTTTTGGTGGTGGGTCAGTGATGGTCTGGGGAGGCATATTCATAGAGGGACACACAGACCTCTACAGGCTAGAAAATGGCACCCTGATTGCCATTAAGTATTGGGATGAAATCCTTGGACCTATTGTCAGACTCTACGCTGGTGCAGTGGGTCCTGGGTTCCTCCTGGTGCACGACAATGCCTGGCCTCATGTAGCGAGAGTAAGCAGGCAGTTCCTGGAGGATGAAGGAGTTGATTCCATTGAATGGCCCCCATGCTTACCTGAACTAAATCCAATAGAACACCTCTGAGATATCATGTTTCTGTCCATCCGACGCTGCAAGGGTGCACCTCAGACTGTCCAGGAGCTCAGTGATGTTCTGGTCCAGATCTGGATCTGGGAGGAAATACCCCAAGACACCATCCGTCATCTCATTAGGAGCCTCCCCCGACGTTGTCAGGCATGCATACAAGCATGTGGGGGACATACAAACTACTGAATACCATTTTGAGTTTCTGCAATGAAATTTCAGCAAAATGGACTAGCCTGGTGCATAATTTTTTCACTTTGATTTTCGGGTTATCTTTCAATTCAGTCCTCTGTAGGTTGATCATTTTCATTTCCATCAAACGATGGGGCATCCTTACATTCCTAACACATTACTCAGTCCATATTAGTATAGATATCCAGCATGATATTTTTCCCCATTGAGATCTGATGTGTTTTTAAAGTGTTCCTTTAATTTTACTGAGCAGTGTATATTACATTTACTGAATGATGGGTGTCTACTTACCTTAGAATCTTTTTACTGTTCTAATTATTTTTTATAAGATTTTCATAGCACTGCTTTCTTTTTGTGGCACTGCAAATTATAATTGAGCTACACAAACTAGAAATTGGGAGAAAAAGAAGTTGATTTAATTCATTATTTCACACAAAGTACTTGGCGAGTGACACACATAAGTCCAGTTTTGGGTAGACAATGTATTTGCACTGACAGGCACTGTACAAAAAAGAATATGTTTATTCAAGCACAGACTGCAAAGGAGATGTTTAATGCTGTCCTCCCAAAAACAATATCTACTTTGTATAACACTTTTCAAGGATTAAAAAGCATTGCCTTGCATACAATGCAACAGCTCTAAGTGCAACCGTGTAAGTGATCTACCATTTTTCCCTGTAAGTCATGGCCACTAGGGGCAGTGTTTCACTTCAGATTGATTGTACGTTTAACCTTTCTGTACAGCAAGTAATGTGAGCTTTCCAAGAAGAAATTACCTTGATATATACTATCTAAGGCATATATAAAAAGTAACTTAAATGCTACTTAAATTGAGCAGTGTAATTGTTTTGCTTTTACAAGTCTTAACATGTAAAAAATTGATCATGCATTAAGTAGTGTATTGTGGTGACTACAGTGCGTAACCCAGTTTCTTTGTATATCTCATTCTTACTGTTATACTGCACTGTCAAGCTGTCCACACGTCATAGTCTGATTTGTGAAATCTTTAGATTTTCCTATAACTGTGTAATAGAAGGGACTTTTTGAATGGTTGTACATTAATTGTATGAGAATATAGAGCTTCAAACTATATAGTTAAAGGTTGGTAAATGAAAATGAGATTTACAGAGATTGTACAAACAGTTGTAATAATTATGGCCAGGTTTACATACAGATATCTGCCTTTAGATTACTAGATATGTTAGTGGCAATGGGGTGGGTTTACAAAAGGGTTAAGGCAGAAGCAAGGAAAATGTTTGCGAATGAGGTGAAAAGTATGGGAAGTAAAGTCCAAAAAAAACTGCATACTTGCTAGCAGATAATTAGTTGATTCAAGCAAATACCATTTTACCTTATTTACTAAACTCCTTGAACATTCGTTTTGCAAAGTTTAAATCCCTTTGCTAAGTGAATATTCTCTACTGCTTTAGTAAATTGTAAAATTTCAGTATTTGCTTCAATAAGAGGGAGACCCACATGACCACTTTAGGAATTGATTACATACAATGTTTTCACCAGACAGTAAAATATGTCATGGATATTATTCTTCCACACCGAATTCTCCCCATACCATTCACAAACCTAATGGAGATACTTCTCCTTCCATGACTGTATGATGATTTTAATAACCCAGCCACTATATAACATTACATGCTTCTGGCAAACACACATTAAAATCTTGCTTCAAATTGATCCCTTACTGGTCACTCCATACTCTACCAGTAAAAATGAAATACAGTTAATGTGCATATTGCACTTATGTGGACATAGAGGAACAATATTGGGTACATGGCACAGTTAGAGGAGAGTTACAGAGCCACATCTGGTCACTGACCTGAATGATATAATTCTTACGTAGTTACTCTGGTTGAAAAAAAAAGATGTCCATCAAGTTCAACCAAAAGATAAAACAAAAACACCTTGCATCCTCAGAACTAGGGATGAGCTTTGGGTTCAAGTTCTTTAGTACAACTAGAACCAAAGCTGTTTACAGTTCAGCAAATAGGCAAAATAAATGGCCAGAGTTAGCCAGTTTGCCCTCCTTCTGAAAATCTGGCTGCTGCAGGTAATACAGCATCACTACCTCAACTGAATGGCACATGCCAGCTGCCCACCGGCTTGTTTCAATGTGTAAACAGGTTGGCGGGCATCCCTGGTGACATTACGAGCATGCCTGGCAAATAACATCAACCAGTGTACCTGGCAGGTTTGTTGACATTCAGCAACTGGCCAAGGAGCTGTCATTTGCAGCAGGAGAGACCAGGATAGGGGGGCAGCAGTTGGGACAAGAGCCTCATGCCCGCAGTCCTGGCTGGTGGATGTGGGAGTATGCAGGGGAGGCATATGTCAGAATCTGAAAGCTCACTTCCAGAATAGGGGGCCCCCAGATATTCAGACCCCCCATTAATTAAGCAAGAAGTACATAGCACTTGTTGTTGCTCATTCACAAACAACATTGACGAAGTAAATATAAACACAAAGATGTCAAAGAAAAATGACATTCAAAATTATGTAGATCCAACATGAATCACAATGAACAATGCCACATGCCCATGACACTTTGGGGGAGATTTACTAAAACTGGAGAGTTCAAAATCGGGTGCAGCTCTGCGTAGAAGCCAATCAGCTTCCAGGTTTTATTGTAAAAGCTTCACTGAATAATCTGAATTTAGAAGCTGACTGACTACCATGCACAGCTGCACCAGATTCTGAGTGCACCTATTTTAGTAAATTTTCCCCATTCTGTCTGTCTGTGCCTACACTTACTTCCTGATACCTATAAAGACCGCTATGGGCTGGACTTCCAATATGTCTGCCTGTGCTCCAGTCCATTACATGGTGGATTGATGGGACTAGTAGTTGACACAAATTAAAGATGAGATTGTTTCTGAAGTCTTTTAAGTTTACAAGTTACAAGGCATTTCTGGCAAGATCAATGGGTATGTTCTTAGCCTGAAAAAAATAAAACAATTGAAGTTACCTATAAGCTGCAACAAATTACATTATTGTTTTGGGGTTTGGATACACTCTACGTATGTACCATTGAGAGCATTTTGTTCTAACTGTTTGATATTTGCAAGAAAAACTATTTGACCCTGCCAGACATCTTGTCAGCTGATTACCTCCAGTGCTGAGTGTTAACTGATACATTGTTCTCAGTTATCTCTGAGCATCACAGACCCCCCTCCATGCAAAAGAGGGAAGTTCTCTGTAGTCTTGCCCAGTGTTATAAAGCTGCTCCTCCACAGATGCAGTACAGTGAGTAAGTGATCTCATCCTAGGATGGGAAGTGTGTTAAAGGTAGGGTCACAAAGTGGAAAGTACAAAAAAAAAAAAAACAATCTGAAAAGAAAACTGGTAAGCTGCAATATATTTGTTTTGTATATGCTTTGAGTATGATTTGTGTGTTTTCTGGTATGATAGGAATTAGTTCACCTTTCAATTAGTTTTGTTCTTGAAGCTGTTCAGGGATGGTCAGCTTCTGAAGACCTTTTTACGTGGAAATTCAGCAATCCAAACAATAGATGAGTAGATCGTTTACTATAAATAATTTTATAAAAAGATTTCCAGGAAGATTAGTAATCTCCTGTCCATTGGGGATCCTCCCATATCCTTACACAGAAGGGTCTCTACCCACTTCTCATGCAGGATTTTCGTGGAATGGGTCTCTTATTGTCTATTACAAATTTCACCTGCAGCTCCACTTACTGGTGAAATCTGGTATTGTGACACAAGCTGACAATTCACTGGTTCTGTAAGGAATCACCAAATGTTTGTTGCTGAACTTTAGTCCACCAAGCACTTCAAAAGTGCTGCTGTGGTTCTATGTGGTGTACAAGGAAACCTGTTCATATAGTTTGATCATCAGGTCTTTTGTTTGAAGGTCACCATTTCTGAAATTCTTTCTTATACTTGGCAACTTGGTGAACATATGTATTTTAGTGTTGTGCATCCTGTCTGTTTCTTGTTCATTTGCTGACTGGTGTTGTAATTATGTTTTTTATTAACTATGCATCTAGGGGTTTTGTCAAAATAAAGAGAATGATTTAAAAGTAAAAGTGTTGTGACAGGTTGAGTCTGCTCAGTGTTACTACACAGACACCCTATTTACAATTAGATACGGAGTTCCAGTCTTTTTGAAAATTCCAATAAACGCCCAATGCAAAATGATTGCACAAGAGCATACTTTTTCATGTTTATGACTTATGCTTGTCTTTTATAGGTGTTCTTTGCATCTGTCCGGTCAGGAGGCAGCAGCCAAGTCTTTTTTATGACATTGAACAGAAAACTCCATGATGAACTGGTAACAGAGCTGTCCGAACAATCCTATCCATGGCATTATTTCTAAACTAGGTCTGGTTTTTGTAGACGTGCATAGCCTCGCTGGATTTTCTGCTGCTGCTTAACCTGGCTGGGTATTCTTGTTTATCAGATCTGCAGAGTACACAGGACTAATTAACAGCAGCGTGCAAGGATTCAGCAACCTTGCCCTGCAACAGAGAAGAGACTTTGCACTTCAACACTGGGAACTGTGGTTCACAGGACCACAGACGTCAGCTGTCGGCTTGTTCATTTTACCTTTTCATTGTGTCTTATTTTGTAAGAATGGCAAAAAAAACAAGTATTGAGACTTGAGCCAGTTTGTTGATTCCTGTCTGCCTGCTCTAGCGTTATATATAAATATAGATATGTTGTAAAATTACTGAGTAAAATAAGACAGCACAACAATGTACCTTTTTTCTGTTTTGCTGAACGCTAAAGCTGTATAGCTGGGTAATTGAAGATTTAAAAAAACCTTTTTGCCTTCATCAACCTGAGTGTTGCTTTTTGATAGCAACAGCCTAATTCATTTTTAATGGAAAGCAAAGTTTCCTCTTCTTTTGGGAAACGTAGTTTAAATGGCTAAACTAGCCGACGTCGAAATAAATCTTATGCCATTACTCGATCTGTCTGTTCATAGAGTCGATCAATGCTTAAACAGCAGTGTGCATTGGTATTGTAATGAGCAGCAAGTGCTATTTGAGAAATGGAAAGAGACTCCAGTGCTGTTTTTCTTTTTGTATATAATGCAACAAGTCAGGGCAAAAACCAAGAGGTAATATCAGTGGAAAGGTTTCAGGTGATTGGCACCTTTTTAAATTCCATTTACAGCTATTCAGACAGATAGCTAATAGGCAATAATAGGACTGTTGCCAATATTGTCACAATGACACTTTCTAGTATTAACCAATTAAAATGTCAGGAGCTTCTGTGAGGCTGTGGCCTACTAGTTAAAAAAAAAAAAAATCAAAAAAAAAAAAGAATAGTTTTTTTAACCAAAGGATGGCAAAATGAGAGCAATTGCCGCCACGGTTTACAGGCTTCAAGCTTTACTGGCCAACATTGTAAAGACAGATTTCTTAGAATTACCCAACGTACAGTAACAGACCACATCTGTTAAAAAAAAAAAAAAAAAAAATTTAAAAATTAAAATTAAAAAAATATACAAAAAAAGTGTGTATGTAGTTCAGGTGATAATGAGTCTTTCAACACAAATGCTCTAATAATTTAATGATAAAATATGTGTATCAAAGGTTTATTTTTAATAGCTACAAGCATGGCTGGCTGTGATAATAGGGTGTTACATCAAGAAAAGTGTGGCGCTTTTTTTTTTGGTTATTAAAATTTTATTTTATTTTATTTTTGGGTTTACCTACCTCGTTTTGCTTATTTTTTTTTTTTTTTTTTTAGCTCTTCATTGCAGCTTTGTTATTCCTATGACATATAGCAGAGGTGCACTAGGAACTGCCAGTGAAATACAGTTTGCCTCTACAAAAAAAAAAGCTACACATTCTAATGCATTCAAAACCGTATGCCTGCAGACTAGATAAGAGTCACAGAATTGTTTGCACTCCACTAGGACACTTCACAGCAGAATGATGTTGATCTAGTGACTGATTTGGAGGAAAACTGCTACACACTCTGTTATTTACAATTTGGTTGCAAATTGTTTTCCTTTAGTGGCTGTGATTGTACTTTCGCCGGGTGCTTTTAATATTTTGTTGCTAACTGATGAACCTTTTAACAGTAAAACAGTCAAAAAATACACAGTTGCAATTCTTTTTTATTGTGGGTTTTTTGGGGTACAGTTATGAAATAAAAGGGAATTATTGTGTTTCACAGATTGTTTGTAATCATTTACTTACGTGTTCTTTTTTTGGGAGGGGGGGGAGGTCTGACAGCACAAGTGAAAAACAACACAAAGTAAATGTGAATTCTAGGGAATTGTCCTATTCAGTTAAGATTTCTAGTTTATTACCGGGTGATCCGGCCACTTAAGCTGAACATAACTGCTTCGAAATTTGTCTGGTTCAACAGGGACTGGCTGAATTTCAATCCATGTAAAGGGCCCTGTGGGTGTACAGAAGTCAACCTATTGATCGACGTCTGTACAACCGCCCTGTCAGATTTTCCCCACATAATCAGCACCGCAGGTTATAGCCAGTAGCACTGATCAGTGTATTCTGATAGTGGGGAAGTCTCTTTGTTGTCAGCATTCAAAGACACAGTGGGAGGATTCCCCCATCTACATCAATTGTCCATTTAATGCTACCCTCTTCACTGATTGACAATGCTGCTGTCCAAGGGCGGCTACAATATTCCTCCATAGATGCAGTGAAGCAACCACAACATCCAATAATTAGTAAGCTACAACATATTCCATTTTTGTTTTTGGGTTTAGTTACCTATAGATATTTGATGCCAGTTGCCTAGTTTAAGCCAGATTAGGTGATCTTGGGTCTATGGAAGCAGATAGATGAGCCTGCCTGAATATCTGAAATGACCTAATCAGGCTGAAGTTCAGCTCCAGCAACTAAAAGATCTGATCAGTAGATTTTCTAACACTGAATAAACACACACACACACACTCACTAATGAATATGTATGGACTGTAAACTACTGCACCTCTTTAATTACTGTTCAGGAAATGAAGACAAAATGAATATTGAAGGTGATGACTATCTTTACCATGCATCTGAGTAAAAAAGATAAGTACTTTCTAATGATTGTAACTGAGAAAAAGAGAGACAGATATTTCATCCTTATCATGTGTGCATTTTGGATTCCTTAAGCCAGCCATACATGGAACGAAATTCAGTGGGTTCAGCAGGGTCTGGCTGAGATTCAATCTATGTATGGGCAGACTGTGTTAGTAAGGGAATCAAGCAATTTTCTTTCCTTCCACCTGTGGTGGAAGGAAAGAAAATCAAATAATCTATGGGATTCCTTCTTTTTGCTATGCATTAATAAAATTCATATTTTAGGTACAATTTACAAAAGTTTTTTTTGTATTTTTACTTCTCTTGAATATATCAGCTCATTGTTTAATATTGTCTCACAGGAGAAATAGTCTCTAACTTCAGTAGTATTTGTAGAGACATCTACAGAATAAGATACTTGTAGCCTTGAGATGACAACCAGAAAATCCGACCCCCAAATGACATGATCATGCACAATCATATTAGTTTATCCTGTGTTTTTAGGCAATGATCAGGCCTGAACATGGTTGCTGATCTTGTCAGAACAGTAGTGATCAACCACAAAAAAATTGCATATAGTTGTATCTTCATCCAAGAAGAGGTACTGAGTGTTCAAGGTGTCTGCAGGGGTGAGAGTGCCCATAGTAAGTCTAAAGTTGTCTTCAAAGGTTTTATCATGCTCATGGTGAGCCAAACCGTGTCTGCAGAGGTTATAGAGTGGCCATAGTAAATCTGGAAGTGTCTGTAGAAGTTATAAAAGTGCCCATGGTAACCCGGGAGTCTGCATGGTGAGTCTGGAGGGGTTTGTAAAGGTTACAAACTCCAAGGCTCCTTAGTGAGTCTTGAGGTTTCCGCAGAGTCTTCAGAGTACCCATAGCAAGTCATACAATGTTTGCAGAACTGGGGCTATGGTAAGTTGTGAGGTCTCCGCAGATCATACTAAGGACCCATAATAAGACCAGAAGTGTCTGCTGTCACCAGTTTTGATAAATTCCTCCAAGAGTGTCCAAGGTGAGGCCTGGAGGTGTCCATGAAGGTTACTAAGTGCCCTGAGTGAGCCTGGAGGCATCTGCAGAAGATACAGGGGGCCCACGGTGAGCCTGGAGTGCCCATGTAATTTTCTTCTGTCATTTTCCATCTGGCCAGTGGAGATTACTTAATGTTAATGGCCACCTTCAGAATTTCAAATTGTTACTCCAAGGTTTGTGTGCAAAGCCACTGCAGTTCCTTCTTGTTACTTTCATACTGATCTGTGGCAAAACCGCATATGAGTTTTTTGCCATGTTTTTACCGCATTTTTTACAGGACACGTGACACAAAAACCAAACCAAAAAAGGCAATGCGGGTGAGTTTTTGATGCTTTTTTGCCACGTTTTCCATATGATCTTAATGGGGAGATGTGTTTTTGGTGTGTTTTTTTTTCTTTTTTACGAGGACACAGGATATGGCTATGGGGAGGCAGAGGACACTACAGTGGGTGGGGGGGGGGGGTGATGTGTAGGGGACAGAGGACACTGCTTTGGAGAGGGCAGAGAACACTACTATGGGCAGGGGCAGAAGGCAATACATTGGGGGAGTGATGTGAAGGGGGGCACAGGATACTGCTATGGGGGGCAGAGGATACTATAGTAGAGGGGCAATGTGAAGGGGGGCACAGGATACTGCTATGGGGGGCAGAGTGCATTACAGTGAGGGGGTGATGTCAAGGGGGACAGAGGATGCTTCTTTGGGGAGTGCAAAGAACACTGCTATGGGGGGGCAGAGGACACTACAGTGGGGGAGGTGATGTGAAGGTGATGTGAAGGGGGGAAGATGACACTGCTGTGGGGGCAGCACAGGACTCTACAGTGGGGGTGAGGGGGTAGAGGATACTACAGTGGAGAGTGATGTGAAGGGGAGGAGGAAATTACTTTGGGGGGACAGAGTACACTACAGTGGGGGCGTGATGTGAAGGGGGCAGAGAACACTGCTATGGGGCAAAGGACACTACAGTGGGGGGGGACAGGACACTGCTGTGGGGGTTGATGTGAAGGGGAGCAGGGGATACTACTGTGGGGAGGGAGTGATGTGAAGGGGGTAAGAGGACACTGCTGTGACACACTATGTGTTCTTCATGCTGTCTTTTTTTGGGGAGCTTGATAGTTTTGATAGTATTGGAAAGACAACTTCATGTCTTAATTGGTGAATTCCCCAACTAGATATAATGCTCTGCTAGATCTACAAATAACAGATCTGATTGCAGATGTAGAAATAAGGGATAATTTAGGAAACCGTGATCACAGAGGCAA